CTTTAATGTAATGCAACAAAAAATTCTCATTACTGAAATGCAAATAAAATTAATTATATGTACAATTTAAATTAGTATTCTTATATTAGTTATAACATTTTATATATTAAATTGATACATTTTTGTTGTACCGCTTTTATGCTAAATAAAAAAAAAACGTAATTTCTTTAAAACAATAATTTTATTATTATTATATTTTATTATATTTCAATCATTTAAAGGCACAATATGCAATTTTCGCCGCTAGAATGTGCGTATTCGAAATAAACAAAGAGACAAAGGCGTAGTTTGATGACGCCGTGAATGAGTGTGGAATCATGGGAGTTGTCGTCTTCAGCCCCACAGCCGATGCAATCCAACGGGACTCGGGCAGAAAAGCCCTATTTAACCTTCATACAAACAAGAAATGTGAAATCACTGTCAAATAAACATCTCAGACTCACCTTATTAATTATTAATATCTTCAAGTCCCCATGAAATCAAAATTAAAGTTTTTTGGGTGTTAGTATCAATATGTTAGTCTTAAGGTTATCTATAAGGCAGTGTGCTCCAAAACAGTGACAAAATTCGCATTTAGAAGATATAAGCATTCAAAGCTTGCAGTTCATCACTTCCGCCGAAACGGCTCAATGATTTTTTTGACGTCACATCGTACTTCAGCTTCTCATCAAACTTTCTGTCCAATCAAATGCTCTCTAGAATCCGAAGCGCCCGCCCCCTACACTATAAAATAGACGCTGAAGCCGCGGCTGAAATCGGTCACTTGTCCACAGAATTAGAATTTTCTGTACAGTGAATGGCACGTAGTGTACTATATATCTGAAATAGAAATATTTTGTAACATTATAAATGTCTTTATCATTTTTGATCAATTTAAAGTATCTTTGCTAAATGAAAGTAATAATTTCTATCATTTAAATTTCTATAATATAAATTTAAAAAAGAGCTTTTGAATGGTATAGTGTATAATGTAACAAAGGCTTTTTATTTCAGACAAATGCTGATCTTTGGATCTTTCTATTCATCAAAGAAATCTGAAAAAAATGTACTGTTTTAAATATTGATAATCAGCAAATCAGCATATTAGACTGATTTCTGAAGGATTTCAACCAGGATAAAGAGTATGAAACGTGCTCCGAGTTGCTTCAGAAAACTAAAAAATTGAGCAACAACAAAAGCATGTTACTGGAAACTGGCTTATTATTGAAAATGCAAACTGACTGTCTGCCAGCAGGAGGCGCTTTGAGAGCAGCAGAAACAGCGGTTTCTCCAGTAACGGCTGTAATCAAAGCAGCTCCGCTCATGAACGCTTCCTTATCAGATAAAATAAAAATGCCATCAAAACTTTTTCTGAAGACAGTCCTTTCCCTTCAGAAATACATTCATATAAAACACACGCGACGTGTTTTGCTTTTGAAACGTGAAGTGCTCATGTTTATTCAACGAAGTCAAATGCCACAAATAAATCAATGTATGGGAAACACTGGTAATGTATATCGAAATATCGGAAATGAGTTTAAAAATCATATCACCGTTATTGAAAAAAATAATATTGCGATACATATTGATATTGAATTATTGTCCAGCCCTAGTTGCAATGCAAAAAAAATGGTAATGGTAATTTTCTTCATGCTAAACATATTTTGAGATTTTTTTTCCTTTTGGTTTTTGGGCTGAAAGACGACCCGAACAGGTTTTGTTACATTCATCCACTTACTCTCCATAATTAAAATAATTCTTATTGCAGAAAATCAAATAAACAGAACAGAAACTAAAACACGCTTGATGAAAAGTAAACAGCACCAACCACAATTCAGGTCAGTTTGAATATCAGATGCCATATAAGCCGTTATTATCAAAACTTTGACTGTTTCACAATAGTTAGTTCAGTAGGTAAATGTGTGATTTACTTTGATTCGTCCCAAGTCTAGTCGCAGGGCGGAAAGGAGGGGGTCCAGGCAGTCAAACTCTGCCAGGACATGTGTGCAGGACTCCACAGGAACCACAGGAATCATCCTGCAACGGTCTGAGAGGAAACAAGAGTATTGGATTTTTTTTTTTTGTAGGAATCATTAGTGCATGCAGCATGTTTGTCTAACCAAAAAGCATTTCGGTGCATCATAAATACATTCCTAACAGCAGCTTTGGGCAAAATATGCATGCATGGCATGGTACCAATAAAAAAAAATGCTAACATTCAGTAAATTGTAATGAGGTACACAAACACTCAAGTAGCCTAATTATTCAAGCGCCCAATCAGCAGCACCTCTGGTCATCATGCGCCAAATATACACTGCAAAGGTGGCACAGAAGCACTTCTAAAGAGGCATTTAGGTGTGTTTACACAGACTGTTTAATGCTGCTTAGAGGTGGCATATATGCATTTACACAGCAACTGCATCTTTATACAGTACTTTAAGGGCTGAGGTGGGTCTGAGCAGGCATAATTTAGTCTGGCTTTTATGCTACTTTACACAGAATTTTGAGCAGGCACAAAGCAACCTTAACTAAGCTATGCAAAGATACCTACAGGCGCATTCTGAGGCTGATGATTCCCAAAAATGCGCCCTCAGTAGGCAGCACAGTGAGCTCACTAGGTTTTGAGACACATCCCCACTAAGTGTCATATGATTCCACGGAAATCCAATTGAAAAAGCATGACTACCACTCTCCTCCTTCATTTCTTTTAATGATGTTCTGCCAGAAGACTAAAAGACTATATATATGCAGCTACATTAATGTATCAACTAAACAAAAACAAAAACCCAGTTGCAGAGTGACAGATATCATCTATTTGGGAACTGTTGTTTTCTATATTTGTTTTTTTTTTTACACATTTGACAGTAAGCAGAAAAGAAAAAACGCTTACAAGCTCATGCATATACACACATTTTATCACTTCCCCTTCGTCTGAAACACGTTTACACGAATTCAGTTTGTAAAACACTTTATAAAAGTAAAAGTTACAAATCAAAGCGACGCGTTAGCCGATTAGCATGACTGTCAATCACGAGATCTGAGTTTAAAACTCGCCAAAACCTCATAAAACATCGAACAAACTTGTTTTTGTTGACGTCTGTTAATCACGTTGTGTCTTTAAACAGTTTAATAAATGTGAAAGTTGATCCTGAGCTGGAAGCTTGGGTACTTTCACGACCAACAACGTTTTAGTTTCTATTTCTCTTCCTAATGAGTAACGTTTAGTCCTTAACGTTATGTACACGTTTGAGGCAACATAAAACAATACTTTTTAAACGTTGTTTACTTTGCAACTAAAAAAAAGTTTAACTTGAGGTGGTAAATGTGTCACCTCAAGCATTTCTATAAGTAACGTTAACGTTATCTAACATCAATTAAACCATATAAAACGCGTTTACCTCCTCCTGAGCTCCAGGCGCATTTAAATCTGCGAAATTTCCAGAAATGTAGTGAAACCCAATCATAAAGTGTGTAAAGTGAAGATCGTGTGTGTGTTTGTGCCGCTGTGTGTTTGACAGCTGACTGAAAACTGACCGGCGCTACTTCCTCATTAGGCTCCACTCACTGTGAGGCGCAGTGATTCACACTAAGCGCGGGGAACTATTTCTGGCGCCTTTGGACAATATTTGCCATCAAGCACTTGGGAAACTTTACATATTAAATATATTATCAAAGTAAATAAATCTGCTAATCATGCATTAAAAGTTCAAGTTTTATTAAAAAACATCTGGTTTACAAACAAATAACTGTCACAGACGCGTAGGTGTTCTAGCAGTAGATTGGGGTCCACTGGTCCATTAAAAGCTCTTGCTGGTATTGATTGATATTCGAGATGCCCTCGAGAATGAAGCCTGTTTCATCAGCAAGCAAAAATAGCAAAGACCCAACCCTCAAACATCTTACAACCTTGAAGTGAATGTGTTTAAGCACCGGATTCAGATATAGATGTATGCATTTTATTATATAAAGACAGCCATCACCAAATTCAAGCACATAATGACTAAACTGAACTGTACGGTGGGTCTTTCTTGAGAAGTTATTATAACCTACAGCAGTATTGATTATGCACTGGTCCTGCTGCATGATTTGATAAGTGACCTACTGTAAATGCAAAATCGTATTAAATATTACTTCTTCATTTTCAGTTGCTCAAAATCTGTTTAAAAGTTTGGTTTGAGCATGTTTAAGAACATTATTTTATTTATTAAAATAAAAATAAATAAATAGAAATATATAGAAATAGAAAAATGCAAGTGATGAAAATCGATACAAAGTAAAAAAAAAACAATAGTTTATAACTTTATAAACTATTGTAAATGTATAAACTATATTACAATAGTTTATAAATGAATAATATAAATTTGTAAATTGATCATATAAATTACAGAATTATTATTTTTGTTATTACTATTGCTTCTTATTTTGTATTCATTTTCATCCTTTTATTTTAATTACATAGCCTATTATTTATATATGCCTGGAAAAACCATGTGTGGTAACTTGTTCTGCATTTATGAAGATTTAAAAATAATTAATCATTTAAATAAATAAGAATAAAAAATGATTCAAACATAAATAAAAAAATATTATTAGTAATAGCAATTAGTTAATATATTAATTAATTTGAAAAAAAAAAAAGATTAAAAACCCCCGGTCTAACACACACAAAAGCATGCACAAACACACTTTCTTATCAGGCATCACATTCATTTGAAACGGAACAATTCTTGTGCAAAACAGTCCAAATACAGTGCTTCCCCTTCTGATTTTCAGTGTGTAACATAACAGCTTCCTCACGGCATGTACACTTTGGTAAACGAGTACTTTGAGGAAGCTCTTTTAACGCAACACACACAAACACACGACACCAGTCGAAGAGTTTAAATCTTGACTTTATTTGCAATAACATCCAACTCAGTGCAGCTAGAGAAGACACGTTATAAAGCAGTGCGGATGAGCGTGCGCACGCGTTTGTGGCACACGGATCAGTAAATGCACTACATAGAAATTATTCATATTTATTTTTTTACAGTATTGCTATATCCCTCCCATTGGCGTGTCTTGAGCAACTGATTTCCAATCAGCCTCAAGTCTCGGGAGGGTTGAACTGGATTGCAATATCCGGTTTGTAAAGAGTCCTCCTTATCATTGACTTGAAAGCTTTTCCCTCAAACTGAGTCCTTTGCATTAAACATTGTAAGTTCCTGAGAAATCTTTCCACCGATATTATTACTGAGCCCAGTTTGGTCATTGCAGAAATACAACACTGTTAAAACTTCACTTCTTACCTAGGAACTGAAATTATCCACTGAAAAAAAAAACGGAACGAACAAAGTAAAGAGAGAAGATAATAATTAGTTATTTGTGACTGGCGCAGCCCATCTCCACGTGGACCAATAAGATTACAGAATTTGCTGCTCCAAGCCCCTCCCCCAGGCAGACGTGCTCACTAGCACCTCCAGCTCTGATTGGCTGGAAAATCCGCCCATCAGGCTCCATCCGGCCCAAGCTGGGAGAGTGTCTCTGTTCTTCTCCCTCTTTCTTTAAATTCAATCACCCAGAGTCTTTTCTCTCTTTCCTGGATTTCTCTGCATCTCCTCAGGTTTTTCTCATCATTCGGCGCGTTTGCCAGACTTGGAACTTGCTGTACGCAGCCTGAAGCATTTCCTCCAGGTGGCCCGTTAGCTGTCGCAATCAGACAACACAGGAAAGTATTATGCATTTCCACTGTAAGTGCATCAAAAATATTGATCGATGAAAAAATATAGATTACATGACCGTGCAAACCCTCAATATCAAAATGGGACTGATTGGGGAAAATCCAAATACAGTAATAACATCAGAAAATTCAGACACTTTACACCTCAAATAACACATTTATGCATGTAAGAAATTAATTTTTTATTTTTATTTTAGAACTTATTTTGAACTAAAAACTCATCAATCCTCTGGTTTTCCTCACTTTCAACTGTGATCATTGACTGTCGAAACAGACCAAAGACAATAAGCATAACATTTTTTGGTTTATTAAATGCACAATATTTTGTTTCAATAAGATTTGTTCTTTAATATTTAGAATTTTGAGGGGATTTTATGGTACTAGACAATATTTAACTCTACATTACGCACCATTTATTTTTATATAACATAATACAAATATTAGAAAAATATTTCATATGATTTTGCATTAATACAGTGTTTAAGTTAAACATACAAATCTATATTACCTAGTTGCTTTTAAGTGTTTTCAGACATTATTATAATTATAAAATACAATAATATTATAAATATTATACAATGTTATACTATTAAATTATATTTTATTATTATATTATTATAATTTAATTATAATAAATATCATAATTTCTATTAGGTATTGCATTTGTATTTCTATTTAACTTCAGGAAAGACTGCTTCATTGTGGCTGATTTGTAGATTGTACCCCCCAAAAAAATGCTCTTTATTTTGATTTTGTTTTGTATTTCCCATTTATTTCCCTTGGCAGCCATTTTTGACTGCAAAGATCACAATTGTGATTATTTTTTAAAGCATTTTCTAATCATGTCCGCAAATTTTTTTGTGTGTTCATATAGCAAGTTTTACAAAAGTCACCAAGCTTCATTAAAAAAATGTTTTTTTTGTTTAAAATGACGACCACTGATTTAAACAGTACACTATCCTGAACCAGTTCTTCCACACAGTTTAGAAATGATCGATTCTGGGCTGTCTTTCTAATAGCAGCAAGATGAGCATTAATTATTCATGTTCACTCTAAGTAGTAGAATCCATTACAGTAAATGGAGGGGGCGTGGACTTACATTTGTGCTCAAATACTGCCGTTGGATCTTTTCTTGAAAGGGGCGGAGCTTTTTCACCTGGAATCTCTCCAGGTTAGATTTCATCTTTACCACCTGTGAGCAGGAGAGACAGATGAAACAAATCATGCTGCAACAAAACAATACTACTTTAGTATTTTAATTTGTAAATATTAATAACCGAAGGTGCACTTCTTGACCTTTTCCTCCAGGAAGGGAGTGTTGATGGGGAAACAGGACCAGAAATGTCGGAGCAGCTCTCCGGCAGCTGTATATAAGTGCTTCAGCTCGCTCTGAACATCAGTTGGCACTAATTCTACATAAATAAACACAAAGAGAGTATAGATCAAGTTAATGGACAGTAAAACGGCAGTTTTAAACTTCTTGCATTAAAAAGTGCATTCAAATATCAGTGGAAGCAACATTTGATGTTATGATGGGATGAGTAGACAGTCTGAGGTCAAACTCTCACGGTTTATGGTCTGTTGGCCTCCTCCCTGCATCAGAAGCCCTCCAGGTGACAGCGCTGTGATGGCGGAGCTTGCCGCATTGCTGGACATCACCTGAAACAGGCCAGAAAATACAATATAATAAAACAGACTACAATCCAGGACTCTTAGCCATGCATGCCAGTGGTGTACCTGCGTCAGACGGGGTTTATAGTTCCTCATCTCGTGCTGGATAATGCTGATGGAGTTGATAATGTCTTGACTGGTGGTGTAATGCTGTGACTGAACAGGGATCGGGCCGTGGGAATATCTTGCAGGAACAAACAAATGTAAAATACAAAGCACTTGATATGAAGATTCACAGACTGTGAAAACCCTGTGTCAGGCAGATACAGAATAAAGGCGCTGGATGTTTACCTGTCTGATTTCTTCAGGTTCAGAGCGATGGTCTGACGCCCAGAGTCACCCTGAAGGTCATCGTACTCTATGGATTCTTGCAATTTTACCTGAAGAGCCACAAAAAAACAAAAGACTGTTATGTAATTTCTGGAAATGTAACCATCTTATATTTTTCCTAAATACTGAATATATTTCATATAATTTAATAATACAAAATATTAATTAAATATAAATAAATTAAATACATAAAAAATATGTAATTTAAATAAATGTAATATATATATATATATATATATATATATATATATATATA